AGGGGACACACACTGATGGGACACACACTGAGGGGGACACACACTGAGGTGACACACACTGATGGGACACACACTGAGGGGGACACACACTGAGGGGGACACACACTGAGGGTTCAGTGTCTTGCCCAGGGACACTTCCGCATGTGATCGTTGTTGGGATTCGAACCCCCAACTCTTGCATTGGAGGACGACTGCTCTAACCGCTGAGCCACAGCCGCCCAGAGTCCTTGAGGCTCAATGAGACTAACCTGCAGAAATAAAGGTTGAATGGTTGAACAAAGTATTTGATGCGTTTATTTTTAATGAAGTGTTTTATTTATTTTAGCCGATTTTTGTTTTTGTTTATTTTATTTCAACATGTTTTTTTGTTTGTTTTTTCCAGCTATGGTTACGGTCCATGGTGTGAATCTGGGCAGAGAACACACGAAATGAAAACTTCTAAAGTTTCAAAGTTATTTTTCAAACACGGACCAACATCCGGCGGAAACCGGAAATCACAGTTCCTTCAAAGTAATGTTCCTTCGTGAACAGCGAGCTTAGCGTTAGAAACATCGTGAACCCAGAGGACAAACTGTTTTGAACTAAATATCCGCAAAACCCAACTACAACCAGAACCAGAACCGACCTGTAAAAGCAGAAATAACCGCTTAGACCGTATGAACGCGGCAGCCCGGTTAGCTAGTCCTGCTAACGGCTATCTGCGGCTCGAACCGGTTTTGGTTCCGTTCGGGCCAGCCGGAGGGCAGGTTGGTCTCGGATCTGACCGCAGTTCGGATGTTTGGACTCACCTTTCCGTTAAAAGTTCGCAGTGACGAGCCACTGAAGCGGCTGATCAAAACAAAGACTCCGATTGGCTGAGGACTCTTGTTGCCACGTCAATCACAGCCTGTCGGCCTGTGATTGGTCAAATGTGAGTGACGTCAGTGTAATTCTTAAGATTACGGGAGTGATGGCGTAGAGGTTAGAGAAGGTGGGCCTGTTATCAGAGGATTGGTAGTTCAACTCCCGGTACCGACATCATCAAAATGTGGGTGTGATTGGTGAAGCACCGACACCAGCCTCCACCCTCATCTGCCCCACTCTGAGCCCATGAGCAAGGCTCTCCGCTCCACACAGAGGCTGTGGTAGCTCTGGTTGTGTCAGGAAGGACGTCTGGTGTAAAATAACTGTGACGTCTTCGTGCGACAGTTCGCTGAGGTGACACCTGAAGAAGAAGAAGAAAAAAACTAAAGTGCTTAAGACGTAGAAAATAGTTCTTAAAACTCGTCTCTAAAAGAAATGACTTAACAAAAACATGCTGTATTAAAATAGTGCTTCAGTAAAGGGTAAATAAAACGCTACTGTTTTAATAACTGTCGAACACCCTCATTCGCCTCGGCCCCTGAGCAAGGCCTTTAACCCCCAGCTGCTCCCTGGGTGGCAGCCCCCTGTGCTCACAGGTGCCATGCAAAGAATACAAAGAATTACGTTTCTTCATTGAGAATTAACGGAATACAGTATAATAAAAAACAAAGGTTTTTAAGCATTAAGACAAACCAAATAAAATGATAATATTCAGGACAGAATTACCCTAAATCAGCTCCCTCCTTCCTCACCTGGAGGACGTGGCTCCTGGAGGATGTGTGGGATTGGCTCTGCTGGTCCAGGAGCCGAGCGCCTCCTATCAGGTGCGCCCCAGAGGTTCATCAGGTGCGCCCCAGAGGTTCATCAGGTGCGCCCCAGAGGTTCATCAGGTGCGCCCCAGAGGTTCATCAGGTGCGCCCCAGAGGTTCATGTCACGGAGCGATCTTTGACCTTTGGCATGAACATTACAGCACCGGCCAAGAGCAGCACATGCATATCTTGAAAAAATGTATAAAAGTCAGTTGTTCTGATTAAAGATCATGATTTTATTATACTAAGGTCATCTATAAACATTCACAATAATTTGTACAATCACTTTGTGCTTCTCCGTACGGAGTGAACTGTAAGACGACAATTTACAGAAACTACAGAAAAATAAGATCATACTCAACAACAATATATTCAGCTCTAACTCTATCATTTACAGATTCACTGCAAAAATAAAATCATAAGAAGACGATGTTCATAATATATTTTCATCCATATGAAGACACGTGGTGGACGTGCACGCTAACTAGTGCACGCACTGTGGTTGCTATGCAACAGTTTGGCAGGATATACTTTTTATTCTTGGTTAACGAACAACTTTTTGTTCTCATCTTTCAGAAACACACACATCTCAAAATATCACACACTTCAAACACAAGAACCTTCAGAACTGAACACGCAATAAATATGGGAACCATATGCAACAAGGTCACGCACACACGTGGTCACGAGGACACGCTGCAAACATGGCGGCTGCTCAACTACACTGCGGACAGGCGAAGACATCGCGCTGTGCTCTACCTGTGGATGGGCGTGACTACGAACGGCTTCAGTGCGTGTCGGCCGTGAAAGACCGCGGTCCAGGGTGGGCGGTCGAGTCTGATCCAAACCAGACTGATCCAGATGGATCTGGTCTGAGCCGGCTATGACAAAAACTTCTAGACTAGACCAGAATGATCCGGGGTAATCTGGATTGAGCCAGACTACTGCAGGGTCAGCTGCTCTAAACTTTACTGATACGCATGAGACAAGTTGGACTGGACTGATCTGCAGTAAATCAGACTACCCTGTACGGATCCAGACTGGTCCAGCAACAAATAAATGAAAAGTCAGTCTTTGTGGGAGGGGCTTTGTGCTTCTGTATCTGATTGTACCGCACACCTTCCTGCTGGTGCCAGGTAAATGACTTGTTGCTCAATACTGACTCGGTTTTTAGCAGGGACTCGTATTAACTCGGGGACTGATTCAGCGGGGACACAGTAATGCTGAGTTTTATAGCTGAATCATAGGTATGTGATTAGTGTGATCACTGAGTCAGTCATGGCTGCTGGCTCCTTTCAACACCAAGAAATGTTTTGGGCAAGGAACTCGTGTTAGAGCCAAGTTGTCAGCCTATGACTTGTGTCAACAGAGTTGGTGTTTGGCAGCTCACTGAACATATCTGGATGGAAGAGACGTGTCGCTGCACTTTTCTGTGATCGACCTGACTGAGCACGCGTTACGCTGATGTTGGCTTGGAGTCAGCAGCCGGTCGGCCTCAGAGACATGACCGTCACAGGGAAGAAAGTGTTTTCATGACTGTTGGCAAAAGGAAATAGTGACAGCTCACCAACATGGACTGAAGCAGAGCAAGTGTTGAGGAGGAATGTTACAACAGCTTGTTTTGTTTTTTCTCTACAGCTCAAGACGGAGGAGGGACATGGTGGTGAAGGTTGGGGGGACAGGCGATCAGCAGCACTTTTGAGGTAGCTGGGCAGGTTTATCGGTCAGTCTGGTGGTCTTTGAGCCAGAAGCTGCTGGCACCTCCACATCCACTCGTTCGGACATCTTCACGCATATGATGTCCACTAGGCGCTCAAAGACCTGACGCACATTAATGTTCTCCTTTGCGCTCGCCTCGTAATACTCAAATCCTGAAAAAGACAGCAAAAGGTTCGATTGCAGTACAGTAGTGTCATGTTTACTTTTTCAGTTTCAGACCAACAGGTCTTGGTTAATCTGATCAACAGACCCTGTTTCAGCTGACCAACAGACCTGGGATCAGCTGACCAACAGACCTGGGATCAGCTGACCAACAGACCTGGGATCAGCTGACCAACAAACCTGGGATCAGCTGACCAACAAACCTGGGTTCAGCTGACCAACAGA